AGAGACAGAGAGAAAGGTCTTCCTTTTTGCTGTTGGTTCACCCTCCAATGGCCACCACGGCTGGCACGCTGCGGCCAGCGCACCACGCTGATCCAATGGCAGGAACCAGGTGCTTCTCCTGGTCTCCCATGGGGTGCAGGGCCCAAGCACTTGGGCCATCCTCCACTGCACTCCCTGGCCACAGCAGAGAGCTGGCCTGGAAGAGGGGCAACCGGGACAGAATCCGGTGCCCTGACCGGGACTAGAACCCTGGGTGCCGGCGCCGCTAGGTGGAGGATTAGCCTATTGAGCCGTGGCGCCGGCCAAGACAGATAGATCTTCTATCTACTGGTTCACTCCCCCAAATGCCCACAATGGCCAGAGCTGGGCCATGCTAAAGCCAGCAAACAGGAACTCCATCAGATCTCCCCTGTGGGTGGCAGGAATCCAAGCACTTGAGCCATGATCCAGGCACTATGATATGGGATGTAGGCATCCCAAATAGCGAGTTAAACTTCTGTGCCATAATGGCTGCCCCTAAATATCTGTGTATTTTTATGGACAGTTGTTCAGAAATATGATTGAAGGACAGAAATGTATGATATAATGGAAATGAAAGAAATTAGCAAGGGTTGTTCATTCAGATTCTTTTAGGCATCCAGTGTGGCATTCATTTCCATTGTGTACATGGCAGAACACCTGTAACATGAAGGTCTTCAGAGGAGAAGGGAGAGAAAAGGTCAAAATGTGACATCTGAGGATTTATGGCTTGTTTTAGGGAATAAGAGTGAGAGGAAGGTGAAAATGGCCTTCCTTTTTTCTGATAGTTTCTCATATGCTAATGTGCCATATTTTGGAGTAACATATCTTAAACCCCAAAGGAGTTACAAAAATACTATGGTGAGAAGGTATTACTGGCCTAGTCTGTGGATATTTTGTGTATTTTCTGGATATTTTGTGTATTTTCAACTGCATCTACCTAAAATAGGAGAGATCCCCTTTTTGAAACTATTTTTTTCCTGAGATCCTCTTTTTGAAACTATTTTTTACTTTTTTTTTTTTGGACAGGCAGAGTGGACAGTGAGAGAGAGACAGAGAGAAAGGTCTTCCTTTGCCGTTGGTTCACCCTCCAATGGTGATCCAATGGCAGGAGCCAGGTGCTTATCCTGGTCTCCCATGGGGTGTAGGGACCCAAGCACTTGGGCCATCCTCCACTGCACTCCCTGGCCACAGCAGAAAGCTGGCCTGGAAGAGGGCAACCGGGACAGAATCCGGCGCCCCAACCGGGACTAGAACCGGGTGTGCCGGTGCCGCAAGGCGGAGGATTAGCCTATTGAGCCGCGGCGCCGGCCTATTTTTTACTTTTTTAAACACGCTTATGCTTCTATACTCAAAATACTGTTTCCTTGACCCTACAAGATGATCACTACTATACATCTTCATTTTTGCCAACCAAAATAATTACTGAGTTAATTCTTTATTTCTGTGTTTTTATATCATATCAATGCATATATACATACCAAGTTATATCAGTTATTGGAAAATGTTATGGACTTTTCAATTTTTCAGAGAAAAATTGTTATGTAGAGTTAAAATTAGTGGACTGTTAGATATCCATTAACTATTTTTCCAGTGGTTGAATATATTAAAATTCTTATCCTTTTTCTACTATTGGTGAAAAGAGATGACTCCAGTGACTTTTCTATTATAATTCAATGTGAAGCTAGCTTTAAGGTATCTTTAAATACAACTCAATGGATGTGCATGCCTGAGGCAAGTGACATTTCAAATTGTGATTCTTTTCACCCCAAAAGCAAGAAGGTCTGCTCTTTCCTGTAGTTAGAGCTATTTAAATGAAATTAATTTAAGAGGTCAGAATTCAACTTCTGACTTCTTAGATTCTTCTATTTGCATTACAAATCATTTAAAGGAAAGAGAAGCAACTGTCTAATTTGAACTTTTTAAAATATCTGATCATCTAGGTAGAGGGAATGAAAGCTATTGGACAAAGTAATTTACAAAGGAAATCAATAGGAATTTGTGGGGGAGATTATTCACTACAACAAACTTTTCAGTGACTTTCAGTGCCTGAGAATACCAATTACTGGTGCTCAAATCACATTACCAATGACAACTCTTGCCTGTTTTCCAGACTAAGTGGTCAGTTAGTGAAATCATGAATCTCGTTTATTTAGTCTTAAGAAATTGCTCTGCTGGTTGGCCTCAGTAATTGAATAGAGACTTGAAACCAAATAATATTGCATATTATACTGCTACAACCAAATATAAAATGATGGTTAAATTCTGTTCAAAATTTTTATAAGGACCCAGGCCTTTTTTTTTTTTTTATTGTCATGTTGCAACAAAACAAAATTAGAATATTTCCTGTGGAATCTAGGAAGAATTCTCTAGAGGGAAGTAGAACAATGTGGGTCCTACTGTGGCCCTGACACTAAAATTTTGTTGGACTAGCAATTTAGATACCTTTTAACTAAACTGTCATTCCTAATCCATAACATCCCCTCCTTAACCTCTACCCATTGACAAATGGGTAAAAAAAATAATGTCTGATTCAGATAAGTTCCAAAATCCTTTTTAGTATTGATTAATTCTAAAGACTACACTGATATTCTTTTTGAAAATGAACCCTAAGTAGAGCCTCCTTAACTTTTTTGTTCCCCCAGATCTGTCTTCGTAGATTAACATCAAATGGTTTAAAGGAATAGTAAGATTAGTAGACCAACCAATGAAAAACTTTCCCACTTTCTCTAACTCTGAGCTTGCTAAGGCAGTTTGATAGTTTCATCTGTTTCCATACTTCACTTAACCAGTAGAAGCCATTGATTGGTTTAATTATCTCACATCAAAATCTTTATCAAAGTATCTTAAATATGATAAACTTAAGGGGCCAGAGCCTTGGCTCACTTGATTAATCTTCCGCCTGAGGCACCAGCATCCCATATGGGCACTGGGTTCTAGTCCCAGTTACTCCTCTTCGAGTCTAGCTCTCTGCTGTGGCCTGGGAGGGCAGTGGAGGATGGCCCAAGTGCTTGGGCCTTGCACCCACATGGGAGACTAGGAGGAAGCACCTGGCTCCTGGCTTCGGATTGGCACAGCTCTGGCCGTAGCGGTCATTTGGGGAGTGAACCAACGGAAGGAAGACCTTTCTCTCTGTTTCTCTCTCACTGTCTAACTCTATCTATCAAATAAAAAAAATATGATAAACTTCAGACCCAAATCTCTGGACTACCGAATAGATATTTATACCTAAAATTTCACTATAATCATAAATTCAAATGTTTACAACAGAACTCATAGTCCTACTCCAGCAAAATTTCTTATATTCTGAGAGACACAGATAATTTGATGGGCCGGGATGAGCTGTTTCCTAATATTTTATTGATAGTAATAAAGTATCCACATTTGAGCATAACTGATTAAAAATATTGGTTAATATTACTCCATAATATTATGAAATGCTTTACTAAATAAGAAAGAAGTAGAACTGTATTTAACCCACTGGAGACTGAGAAAAACCCTGAAAATATCCACAGAAATGTTTCATATATGAACTTCATCCATAATACAATGTGACAGTAAAAGAAATTCAAAGTATTGACCATCCTGAGAGTTGAATATGTCTGGCGTTCAGAAAAGAAATCTGAGAGATTGACTTAAATTTGGGCTATTGATTCAGGAGAGAATATATATGTGACAGATGAGGCCGACAGATTTTCTAAACATTCCTAAGTATCTTTCCCAATCTGCGCAATTATTTCAAACCAGCTTTGCTTTCTCCAACAACTCTAATATCTGTCTTATTGGCCTTCACATCCTGTCATCCTCTACTTCATGACTGGAAAAAGAGGCAATTAGGAATGAGGAGGAAGTCTTCTCATATTTACATGATTCTTCATCTGAATTAGTTTCCTAGATCTTCCATTACAAATTACTTGTGTGGATGACTAAAAACATTTATTTTCTCATAGTTCTGAACATCAGAACTCTGAAATCAAGTGCTATGACTTGGATGTTAAATGTTACCAAAGTCCCCTGTGTTAAAGCCTTGGTCCCCAGGATGTCCCTGTTGAGAGGAGGTAGAACCCTTGGAATGAGGGAGCTGGTAGCAGATCCTTAGGTTTTTGGAGACAAGCCTTCAGAAGGAATTGTCAGACTCCAGTCTGTCTGTGTGTCTCTATCTCTGACTTCCTGTTTGGTGATATAAACTCTTATGTATGCCCACATACATGCTCCTTGTGATGTCATCTGCTGCCCCAACAGAGACCAAATGAGTGTGGCCTGCCTGATACTGGGACTTTGAACCTATAAAATTATGAGCTAAATAAACCTTGTCTCTTTATAAACTTAGGTTCTTCAGATTATTCCTTATTAGTGATGAGAAGCTGACTAATACATCATGTGTCAGCAAGATTGTTCTTCTTGGAGACTTTAGGAATCTGTTCTGTACTTCTAGCTCTAGTAGTTGTTGGTAATCCTTGGTGTTCCTTGGTTTGTAACTTCAGTATTCTATGCCATATGTCCATATGGCCTTCTCATCAATCTATGTGTCCATGTGTAATTTTCCTCTTGTTAGAAGGACATCAGTGTATATCCACCGTAAGAACCTCATTGTAAATTCACCATACGCACAAAGGCCCTGCTTCCAAATAATATTATATTTGCAGGTACTAGGGAGTTGGACTTGGATAGTTGTACTGGGGATACCACCCACAGCAGTATCCATTTGTATTTGTAACCTCCTAATAGGTTAAAACATGCTTTTTTTTTTTTAAGGATATTCCAATATTCCTCTCAACTTTTTCCTCTTTTTTCTTCCTAGTAAGCTTGTTCCACATATCATCTTCCCCTAATGTGTTTTCAAATTTTATTATTTTTCAGGCTGTTTCTCAGCATTTAAACATATTCAAGTATCCATCTTTTTGTGTGTGTGTGTGTGGGAAAGTATTTTATTAGTTATAAGCATTTGAACCAAAGAAATGCAGGTGATTTTACAAACTAAGGATTTTTAAGTAAATGAAATTTCCAGTTTATTATACAGTTTTATGTCACACCAGTTTAAATGCATTTCTCTATAACTACATCAACACAGGTCCTTTGAGATTATTTCGGTCATCCCTACCATGTCACTTTACCAACAAGCTTGAAGCTAAACAAACAGAATTACAAATGGCTAACTTTTAGATGAATGGGGTAAGAAGTGGTCACCAGATGTGCATTAGGGTTGTTACCTTCCAACAAGACACTCTGTTACAAGGTTCCTTCTGACACAGCAGTTATGTCAGAACCTTGGAAACACAAGGGCTGTTAGAATTAGAGTACAATAAAAGAAGCTTCTGCAGCTTAAGTCTCTTGTAGGCCCAATCCTGAGAAGCGAGGCAAAGCATCCTTCCTGCAAACGCAGTGTGTCTCCAGCATTTCCACCTAGTTGAGCTTGCGGAGATGGATGCCCTAGACATATCACGAATCTATACACCACCTTGGCTCTGGCTCCCTTAGTTATGCCTGAAGAGTTTAATCCCCATCCAAGTCCAGAGGTGGAAGAACACATACACTGGTATGGTAATGGGCAGGAGCAAGCTGTAGAAGCATAAGCTGGTGGAGCTGGTGCAGCCCTGTGGGAAGTTTTCTTCCACAGAGGCCGCATAGAAAAGACCTGCGAGAGAAATTAGTGGGATAAGGACGGTCAGTGTAGGAAGAGACAGAAACATTCTCCTCTCCCACTTAACCCCTGCCACCTTGTTTTAAAACGGATATGGTATTGAGAACAGTTAGTGTTGTGGTTTTTAAAAATTATGGTCTAGTGCTGCTCTGTTTCTTCTTGCTGCTTATCTCGATGGGTCATCCTTGCTGCCTGTGGTATCATATTAGGAATTCCATCAACGATTGGATAGGCTATTCCCAGATTAATTAATTCATTTGTTGATGCTTCATATCTGAGCGGCTTCTTGGACAGGGGGCACACCAGGAACTCCAGCAGCGCCGGGTCGAAGGCGCTGGGCGGCTGCCCCGCCCGGTCGCTCCGATCTGCCGAGGGCGGCGACCCAGTCGCTTGCAGACACCTATGGCCGACTCCGGACGCCCGCAGCGCTGAGGCGAGCCTGCCGCGTGCTCCACTAAGCATGGTCCGGCTGCCGGCGACCCCTGCCCGGCGCGCCCTCCGCCAGCCGCACGGCGTCCCCCAAGTATCCATCTTAAAAGTAGCAAAATATTGGCCGGCGCTGTGGCTCACTAGGCTAATTCTCCGCCTGTGGCGCCAGCACCCCAGGTTCTAGTCCCGGTTGAGGCTACAGATTCTGTCCCGGTTGCCCCTCTTCCAGTCCAGCTCTCTGCTGTGGCCCAGGAAGGCAGTGGAGGATGGCCCAAGTGCTTGGGCCCTCCACCCGCCTTCCTCCTGGTCAGGAGGAAGCACCTGGCTCCTGGCTTTGGATCGGTGCAGTGCTGGCCGTGGTGACCATTTGAGGGGTGAACCAAAGGAAAAAAGGAAGACCTTTCTCTCTCTCTCTGTCTCTCTCTCTCACTGTCTAACTCTGCCTGTCAAAAAAAAAAAGTAGCAAAATATTGTTTCTCTCTAATCCTACATTTCGTTTTATCTCTGCTGAGGTTTGAATATGATTTGTGGGTCTCCTCAAATGTTCATATGTTGGGAACTTGGTCTCCAGAGTGGCAGTGTTAGGAGGTGATCAAAACTTTTAGAGGTGGAGCCTGTTTGGAGGTCCTTAGGTCATTGGGAGAGTACTTTCAGAAGCAGTTCCCATGAGCCTTCTTGGTAGTTCTTGGGATAATGTTGTTAAAAAAGAGCAAGCCTGGTCCCACCTGCTGTCTGCTTTCTGCTTCAAGATGTAATCCCCTTGCCGCTGCAGGTCATCTCTGGCATGGCATGATACCATCTTGGGTAGCTCTTACTGGCCCTTTGTTATGCCATTTGGACTTTGTTCCTCCATAACTGTAAACTAAATAAACTCCTTTTCTTCGTAAGTAACCCGTGTCAGGTATTTTACTATAGTAATAAAAATCTGACTAATATAATCTGCTACCCCCTCTCCTTTCTGCACTTCTAAAACTATATACTATATTCCTTTTTATAACTATCTCCTCATCAACTCACTCAACTGACTGCAATCTGATTTTTAGTTACTGCTAAGATTGCTGTAGTTAAGATTTTGAATTTTTCCTTTGTTTCTAAATCAATGGGCACTTCTTAATTATTTCATTATATGATTTACTTAGGGATTGACTTTTAGGGGCCACTCTCCCATCATCTGCAGATCAACTATTCCCTTACTTTCCATGTTTCACATTCTAGATGTTTCCTGTTTCTCGGGATGCTTAGCCATCTCAAAAGACTTATTCAGGGCTGGCCCACTGTGGCACAATGGGTAAAAACCCTGACCTACAGTGCTGGTTTGAATCCAGACTCCAATTCCAGTCCAGCTCTCTGGTAATGCACCTGGGAAAGCAGCAGAAGATGGGCCAAGTGCTTGGGCCAACCGCACCTGTGTTGGAGACCTGGAAGAAACTCCTGGCTCCTGGCTTCAGTCTGACCCAGCCCCAGTCATTGCAGCTAATTGGGGAGTGAACCAGAAAATGGAAGATCTCTTTCTGTGTCTCTGTGGCTCTGCCTTTCAAAAAAATAAAATAAATCTTCTTTAAAGAAGGCTTTTATTCCTCTGCTTACTTTGTAAGCTTTGACGTTTCTCTAGAATTAATTTACCTTTTCCTCTCACTCTTAAACTTTTCTTGGTTTACCTTATTTCCTTACATATCTTCTGTATCACCTATATGATACTGGCCTTCCGGAATGTGTATCTTTCACTCACATTTCTCTTCTTCTTCTTCTTCTTTTTTTTTTTTAAGATTTTATTTATTTATTTAGAGGTAGAGTTACAGATAGCAAGAGAGAGAGAGAAAGATCTTCCATCCGCTGGTTCACTCTCCAGTTGGCCACAATGGCTGGAGCTGAGTTGATCCAAAGCCAGGAGCCAGGAGCTTCCTCCAGGTCTCCCACGCGGGTGCAGGGGCCCAAAGACTTGGGCCATCTTCTATTGCTTTCCTCTGCAGGCGGAGGATTAACCCACTGCACCACAGCACCATCCCATCACATTTCTCTTAACACCAACATTATATATGCAATTTCCACTTGTCCTTCATTTTTTGGATGTCTTACAAATCCTTCAGATGTACTATGTAAGCAAATAAATTGTGGTGAAAATTACTAACAGTGTTGTCTCGACCAGATTAGGAAGGAAGAGAGTTCAGGGAAAGATCGTACAGGGAGAAAATAGGATGAAATTTCTCCATGGGTAAAGACTAGATGAAGTAGGACTGAAGGTTGGAGATAGCTGCCAAGATAGAAAGTTATAAATGTTAAAGTTAACCTACCTGATATGGAAAAGTTCTATTGAAAACAAGATATAGGGGCCAGCGCCGTGGCGTAGCAGGTAAAGCTGCCACCTGCAGTGCCTGCATCCTGTATGGGCGCCTGTTCAAGTCCTGGCTGCTCCACTTCCAATCCAGCTCTCTGCTATGGCCTGGGAAATAGTAGAAGATGACCGAAATTCTTGGGCTCCTGCACCTACATGGGAGACCTGGAAGAAGCTCCTGGCTCCTGGCTTCTGATGGGCGAAACTCCGACCATTGTAGCCAACTAGGGAGTGAACTGGCTCATAGAAGACCTCTCTCTGCCTCTCCTTCTCTGTGTCAGTCTGCCTTTCAAATAAATAAATAAATCTTTAAAAAGAAAACAAGATATATAATACATGATGAAAATACAGTTACTGCAGTTGAAAAGTCCACACAAATTGTATGACTAAACTATTACATGACTTGTTTATGTTGATGTTGGTATGAAGATTGTAGAGAACAGAGCAGATAAAGAATGTGAATAAAGTTCTAAACTCTTTATTAAAATGAATGAATGATAGGAAGGTTCATGTGTGATAGGAATGAAGAGGACTAAAGAGCACCATAGTGGAATGATTTGACATTCAGATGAGTGGATTGTTATCATTCACACTGAACATATAATGGCAGGACAAGCATAGCATAGCACCTTTTACATAAAGGAGGAAAACAATAGACATTTATCAGTCACTGTTTCATAGAAATTCTGACATCCAACCATGTACACATTGCAGTTCCTTGTGTAGGCCTCAGTGACACGTCCTCACAGCTGTTTTCCATGACTTTTGGCTCTTCCCCTGGACTCATCGCCCTGTTTTGCCTTTTTTGTTATCCTCCTCATCCTATAATATCACCTTAACAGTTCCCATCAAGTGTTGTATCTACTCACTTGTTGCTTCCCCTTAGGAAGGTATACATTATTGCTTTGATACTTATTACAACAAAAGTGACACTGTCTGGCTTCTCAATTTTGTGAGATAAATACTAGTGATTTACATTACTGATGTTGTATATTATCAATTTTGTATAATGTATCAATATTGTATTACATGTGTTCTTTAAGTCTTTTTTTCCTTTCTTTTAACGTGTTAAGTGCTGTTTATGTTTAAGTTACCCTATGGTTTTTTAAAATTGTATCTATTTATTCTTTAGCCTAGAAATATTTTATTTAAAGTATGAAAACTTCATGCTTTTCATATATACAAATTTAGGAACATAGTGATTCTTCTCACCCTACCCTCCCTCCTGCCTGTACTTTCATCCTTCTTCCTCCTCCCTCTCCTATTCTCATTGTTATTTTTTGCAAAGATCTATTTTCAGTTAACTTCATACTCATAAGATTAACCCTACACTAAGTAAAGAGTTCACAAATAGTATGAAGAAAAAAATAAACCACTGTTCCTGAACAGTTGAGACAAGGGCTATTCAAAATCATCACATCGCATTGTCAATTTCACTATTATAGATTGCCATTTAGATATACTTATTACATGTTATCAATATCAAATAACATGTTAATATTGTATTCATGTGTTCTTTATTTTTTTAGAAAGCTTTTATTTAATGAATAGAAATTTCATAGGTACTGCTTTAGGAATGTAGTGGTTCTTCCTCCCATACCTGCTCTCCCACCCCCACTCTCATCCCACATTCTACTCCCTCTCCCATCCTATTCATTAAGATTAATTTTTAATTAACTTTATATACAGAAGACCAACTCTATATTAAGTAAAGATTTTAACAGTTTGCACGCACACACACACACACACACACAGTATAAAGTAATGTTTGAAGACAAGTTTTACTGTTAATTCTCAGTACAATTCATTAAGGACAGAGGTCCTACATGGGGAGTAAATGCACAGTGACTCCTGTTGTTGATTTAACAACTGACACTCTTATTTATGATGTCAGTGATCACCCAAAGCTCTTGTCATGAGCTACCAAGGCTATGGAAGCCTTTTGAGTCCACAGACTCTGTCGGTATTTGGACAGGGCCATAAGCAAAGTAGAAGTTCTCTCCTCCCTTCAGAGAAAAGTACATCCTTCTTTGATGACCTCTTCTTTCCATTGGTATCTCACTCACAGAGATCCTTCATGTAGATCATTTTTTGCCACAGTGTCTTGTCTTTCCATGCCTGAAATTCTCTCATGGGCTTTTCAGCCAGATCTGAATGCCTTAAGGGCTGATTCTGAGGTCAGAGTGCTGTTTATGGCATTTGTCATTCTGAGTCTACTGTGTGGCCTGCTTCTCATGTTGGATCATTCTCTCCTTTTTAATTCTATCTGTTATTATTAGCAAACACTTGGCCTTATTTATGTGATCCCTTTGACACTTAATCCTATCTTTATGATCAGTTACACAGTTAATATGATCACTTAAACATGTAAGAGGGCTTTAGTACCACCTTGCTTAATGGGATTTGAAGTCCCACGGCAAGTTTTTAGCTTCACCCTAGGGGTAAGTCCGTGGGAACGTATACTGAACTATTCATGTGTTCTTTAAATGTTGACTTCATTTCTCCAGACCCTTTAATGGTGTTGTCATATTTTCAGCAATTCCTACTATTCTTCCTCTTCCCTCTCCTTTCCTATTCTTATTTTTTACAAAGATCATTTTCAGTTAATTTTATACTCATAAGATTAACCCTACACTAGGAAAGAGTTCAACAAATAGTCTGAAAAAAAAAGAAACAAAGAACAAAAAAAGCAAGAAAAACA